AAGACAATAAAAACGCCACACGCATAGTATTTAATTGAAAATGTAATTAAAAACCTATAAATATAAATCGAAAATGACCACTTGGCCACTTATAATAATTAATTCATTTATTCATTCTTTAAATAATTTTTTAATTACAATACCCCATTCAACTCTAAGACCAACCAGCCATTTTTATTATTTTATCATTATTTCATTTCATTTAATTATTATTATTTTATTATGATTAATATTTTATTATTAATGTTGTTGTTACTATTGTATTATTTTTTTATTTATTCATAATAAACGATGTCAACATTGAATTGAAATAGGATGGATTGGATTGCTTTTAATGGCTTGACATTTTTATTGCGAGTTTATCTGCATTCAATTAACCAGTTATGAAAACAAAAATTTATAACACTTGTTATTATTATTATTATTATTATCATCATTATTATCATCATCATCATTATTATCATCATCGTATTTGCTATCGTCATCATTACTATCATCTTTGTTATAAATGTTTATTGATAAATGATATAATGATATATGATGATACATGCTTAATGATATATGATGATACAAATATAGTGATAAAACATATAAATGATATGAAAGTGATATATGATGAAACATAATTAAATATATAGATATCAAATTTACAATTACGAAATTGAACTATGATTACTACTTACGAACAATAGTAGTTTTTTGTTTTTTCGTTTATTATTTCTATTTAAAAGTTAATTCGCAGCATTAACAAGAAATAATATTTGGAATGGCAAATTTTCAAATGTACGCTGATTTCATTTTCGCTTCCAATTTAGAATTCTTGATGGGTTCTTCCAACACACGAATGACATTCCTCCTGATCAGTTCATTCAACTTGGCCAGTGCGGGCAGAGGTACAGTGGCATCTGAGCTGCCCCGCTTACTTAACTCAGGGTCGTCGTAATTCTTTGTGTGAAGTAAAGAAAAAATGGATACGTTTATTTATTAATAATTTGGAATTAATGACCCTTAATGAGAGAATAATTAATAAATTAATTTTTTAACAACAAGTTAAATGAACAATAAATGGAGTGAAACAAATTCTACTAACAAAGGACGGAAGTACAAAACCAGACGACGGTTGAATGCTCCATGAAGAGAGAACAACAATGGCAGACACTGTCAGTGTAAATAGAGTCATCAAACGAACCATCTTTTATTTTTTACTTACTCTACTTTAGTATAATTTTCAATTTATTCTTCAAATTTCAAGCAAACACTGAAATTATTGAGTATATCGAGGCTCTTTTATAGCAAGCAACTCGTCAAAATGCGTCTATCCGGGTAATTGTATAATCGGACGGTCATAAATCAGACGACTGACGATCAGAAGCGATGTTTCAATTTTCACCTCGAATTGCACGCTGTTATTTCATCACGGCGTTTATTTACATGGTGTCGCTTTTAAATTTGTTTACCAATTACATGATAAATTGAAATTTATTATTACTTTAATAAATTTCGTTGCAGAAACATAAAATACAAAAATCCTCAAACAGTCAATAAATCAATTTACAATGTTTTTCGTTGCTACTCAGTTTAATTTAACTCCCAGCATTGAAACCATAAAAATCAAATCTTAAATAAATTTTTTCAACCACGAACAAATGGTGAGACATCATATTTTGTTTTCTATGGCCCACTGCACGTAATGTCTTTTACAGCACGCAAGCATTATGAAATCATTTTAAAATGGAACAGAGATGATCGGAGGCAGGCAGCCGTTCCAAACAGCCCGAGCAGCATGACAGAAGCCGCCGTCTGGGAGATGGAATTTAGTGATTCTTAATTAAGGAAATTTTGAGACCAACAATGTGATGTAACGTGTTTTGACGTTATCAAGAATATTTTAATGCTGGGGTATGTTATAAAATCACACGAATAAATAAAATTATATAAATATGCCTGTCATCATAAATGCTTATAAAGTCCATACTTATTCACTCTTAAAAATTAAACTGCATCTCTTCCATCTATGACGACGCTGGAATGAAACTCGCAAGCGGTAACGTCAATGGTTAAGAGTATTGAGATTCTAAGCACTCACATAGTTCAACGGTCTATTTCTTTCATTGCTCAAAGCATTCAATTGTACTGACAAAACATCAATTGTTTCCATTGTTGTTATGACGATCTAAGTTAAATATTTTACATTTTTAACAGAGCAATTTAGCATCAAAAAATCGGGTTAGCAAAAATTGAAAGAATATATTTTTTCGGTAAGCACCCAAGCTTTATTCAGAGCAAATTTCTGGCTGCAGAGTTGCTAAATGCGTTGTATCGTACCACCTCGATATTTGTGGTGTTTTCAAAGTGTTCTTCATATGGAAAATTTGATCTCTGATGACTCAAATAGGTCTTTACTTTTCAATAATTGCGATACTAATTTTTTTAAACGAACGCTCTGTATACAATCTCAGATGTTTTAATTCTAATGTTTTATTTTAAGTAATTTGACTAATATGTTCAATTTTATTACCAAATTCAACCAAATTACATTAGCTATTTTTTCAATGTTTTGGTGTTTACATTCTATTAATTACGAATTATAACGTTGAGTTAACAAATACATTATTTTCCAAGAACAGTCTGGTCATCGAATAAATTTTTATTTTGTAAACTGTTAAACCGCCACCAAACAATAATGACAACATATTTAACAAATTTTAACAAACAAACTTAATAGACAAATGTTAAAAGTGTTTAGATATCTGTAGCTTATAATTTGATTCTTTCTCGTCAGATGTGACTCATGCTGACTTTTGTTTTGGCGTGTGAAGGGCTTCCTCCAGTACCTGAAGAACATTCTTCCTGATCATCTGATTCAACGTTGTCATGGAGGGCAGCTGCAAGGTTGCGTCTTGATCGCTGCCTCGTTTGCTTAACTCTGGATCGTCGTAATTCTAACATGTTTGTGAATAAATACGCAATCAACAATAAATCAGAATAAAAAATAAATCAATAATTCGAAAAATAAAAACACGGGAAGCTAGACATACAAACGAAGGCAGTACGAAACTCCACGATGGCTGGACGGTCGAGGAAGAGAGAACGACAATCACGGTCACCGACATGGTGCATAATGTTATCAAACGAACCATTTTCTCTTTTCGCAAAAATTTAACAAAAATATATCTACTTAATTTTGAGTTAAAATTCAATAAATATATCCACTTAATTTCTAGCCAAAAGTGACTGTTTTGGGCTAGTTCGAACTTTTATAGTGCTAGCAGCAAGTAAAAATGCATCATCTTACATAAATACATAATTGTTTAATGGTGCAGTAAATTCATGTAGGCGGACGATCGGAAATGGGAAATAAAATCTCCATCACCTGGCAACCAGTGCACTCACAATAATTGCATCCAAACAATTAAGTTGTATCTTCTTCATAGTTAAAAATACATACATTAAATAAGTAATTTTTTTCATTATCATCAATGTTTTAACTTAAACCGACAAAATTTCTTATCAAAAAATTTATTGAAATTCAACTAAATAAGTTGAACAATTCTAAAAAATTATTTATTTTTCATTTAAAAATGGTAAAAGTTAAAGCATGTATATTTAAATCTATCATTTTACGGTTTTCTTTCATGAATTTTATTGCGTCGAAAATGGAAAAAATGTTAAAAAAGGAATTATAAAAGACAACATGGTTTACAGCGGTTCATTAGACTCGTGTCAGTGCAAGAACCATCGCCAACTATTGTCCTAATATCTTTGCTCACCAAAAGTTTACCTCCAACGTGGAGCTCGAACCGAACATCTCGAGGTTAAGAGTTTCATGCTCTACCGACTGATCTAGCCGGGCTTATAAATGTATGTATATATCTTTATATTTGTTGTATGTTGATGTTTATACCAATATACCTTCATTTAAATATAATGTAATTTCATTATTACTTATATAAAAATCATTTATAATAAGATCTTATCGAATATTAAATTTTTCAATAGAAACATTTTCTAAAAAATTCTTTGATCAAAAAAGCACTGTAGTATGTTATATGACGAGATATTAAAGGAAAATCTTACAGGTTTTGATTCAGTGCACGTTTGTAAGCATAACATTGTGGATAATCGATATCCCTTCATTGAAATGAAGGAGTAAGAAATAAGCCTCCAAAGATTACAAAAGAATTCGTAAGTTTTAAAAATTGATGTGGCAAAGAAGTTCAAATTACAAAAAATACAATTGAAAATAATAAAATGGTGTGATGAAAAGATTCTGATTTTAAATAAATTACATTACAGTGTAGACGCTAACAAGAGGTTGGGGTCGAGAGTTCATTGGATTCATTGCGTTTAGGCTTAAAAATTTGTTTAAAACAATTAATTTTTATAAATGAGCTTTATACCTTGAATTCTAAAAATATTGCTTGTAAATTAATTTATTTTTTGTATTGTGTGCGGTCCTGTTCATGTCCAGTCCATATAAATATGAGGAAATTACCATGAATTCAATAAACTCAATAAATTGTGGTTTGGTGCCCAAGGCTTTGGTAAAAATTAGCCAAATGGAATAAATAAAAGATGTTAAGAAATTTGTAGTGGAATTTATTGAAGAATTTTGCATGGAGGAAATAATTTTGCGTCAACTATCAATTTATGAAGACGAATTTAAAAAATAAGCTGCAGCTTCCAAGTTGAAATTTTCACCAGAAGATGTCCAGAAAGTATCAAAATTCATTTCATTAACCAAGGATTATGTGGAAGAAGGAGAATGTGAGTGGGTGAATCCATTTAGAGCATTCACAAGAAATCAACAATATGACCTTGTCAAGAACCAACAACTTTAATTTTATTTAGGTATGCAGTTCAAAAAGTTTGGAATATTTAGATCATATATGTATAAAAATGTTTATGTCAATTTCCAAAACAAGGACTTGTTTCACGCATGTCTGAAGGATTCTGTTTACATGCTGCCGTACTCCGACGACAAAATGATAGATCAGTCGTGTGTAGTAGGTTTGGAGGAGTTTCACGAGGGACAGTTTGTACAGCTTCTACCGTGCAAACACTCCTTCCATCATTCTTGTTTACATGAATGGACCAGGATAACAACTAAATGTCCAACATGCAGAAAAATCTTGGTAATCAGACTAAAGGGTTTTTATAATTATGAAGTCCAAAAGAATAAAAATGGCAGTGAAATTTTGAATGTTACTCTAATCATCAAGCTAATTTTTTGTTAACATTATTTCCATTTTGGATGAAAATACATTTTACCATTTATTTTTTTAAAATTATTGTCACAACATTTTTAAACGTTCAGTCAGTAAGATATCTTAAATATAACATTTTTAAACTTGAATTGTGAAATTGCTTTGAACGTTCAAGGCTAGTTTTGAAATTTAGAAACTCTACAATTTACCAAGAAATACAATGTTGAATCCTATAATAGTACTCGTTTCATGATTTTGGCTCCATCGATCCATAAAATATCGCTGTGAAATTATGTCGTCGGTATGAGAATTTTTTTTTGAAGTTTAGTTTTTATTATGTTTTAGCAAGATCATTGTCATCAGCTATAATTTTTTTCTCAGTTTATTATCGTCCTCGATATCGTAACGAAATTAAAAAAATAGTTGGCATAGATAAGAACCTTTGCTTTGATGTGTTTTTCCATTGTTAAAAATATTGCAACGTTTGTCTAGGATGTGTTAAAGTAATTGTCGAAGAAGATGTCGCAATTTAATTTTATTTCATAGAAACATTTCGTTTACTATACTTTTTATTTTTTCGACATACATATCTCAAAACTGAACGTTCATTCGTAAACGTTTGTAAGCTTTTCACAAGTCACTCGATTAATGATAAATAAGGAAGCGAAGCGCGTGACGTAATTCTGGTACCTGCATAGAGACTATAGTCTGCATAGAATAATTAACAATCCGGAATGTCAATGTAGATTTCAAAACGCAAAGAAGTGCGGTTGCATTCGCGAAAAATATGAAAAATGAAGGCCTACGACTTTGAAGGTAAATAGGGCTTTAGTTTTAAGGACTTTAAATAGGGCCTACGATGACCTTAAAACAGCCCTGCAATCAGTAAAGCGTTCGTATTTTCAAATAATGCGATTTACTAAAAATCTGTTATGGATCAAACGCTAGAGGTATTAGTGTTTCAGCCAGAAACAATAAGTTAACGGTCTGTTTTGCTTATTGCACATTTTTTCATGATTTCTATAACGAAACTTGAACTTTTTCATTCGAATTTGCAAAGTGTGTGCGACAATTTGAAACTTAAATTCAGGAAATCTACATGGAGATTTTTTTAAATTTACCTAACAAAAATGTTTACTGCGAAAAGTGTAACAACTATTAAAACCAAAACAGTAAATAATTTTTGACTTTTTATTGATCTAGAAATAAAAAATACAACAGAAATTAATTGTAACAATTTAATTACTGATAGGAAAGGAAAGGTGAATGCCTCCACAAAGTGCACCGTTCTTGTCCATTATTTATTTCACTCCAGTCGGCGTCATCCTTGCAGCTTTTGATTCTGAATAAAATGTATAACAAATTCAAAGATAATTATTAAATTTGTAAAAATTATTAATCATTAAAAATAAAGTAGAACGAAATTCATTCTATCAAGTCGATATAATGTAGTTTTCTTAAGAGGACACCTTCATAGCTGTCATAAGATCTGCAGATTTATATTTATCAAACAAGCAACACAGCACATAAAAAAATTGTAAACAAACCTTGTTAATTACCTCCTTCGTTGTTCGTTTTTGGCGTTAAAATAAATAAACAATTAATTAATTAATTAATTAAATAATTAAATATGGAATCTCTGGAATCTGTCGAGAAAGAAGTTGAAAAAGTTCTGTCCAAATTTGCTGGTATTGACGAGAATATAATTACATCTTTGGAGGAAATTATTGAGAAGATTGGGAGTTTTAAGAGAAAATTTGACCAGGGTTTGTTTTTTTCTGTTCCTTGGCTGGTTTGCCTTTTTAGTTGCTGCTCGGTTTGTTCTTTAACTAACGAACCCAAACGAATAATAACGCAATATAAATTTTTAGACGTGCCAAAGCCTTTTATTTTCTTTTTTTTATTTATTTTTTAGATTTTTAATAAAATAAAAAAAAATCAATAAAAATTTTTTATTTTATTTAATTAAATTTAAAGGTCTTGTTCGGCTCTGTCTTAAAAAAATTAGTCCATGTTCTATCTCTAATACTAGTTCTAATAAGACCCATATTTTTTCACTCCAGAGACATTCGATGAGAATGGTACGACCACAGCTCTTGATCTCAAATTATACTTGAAACAAGTCAAAGAAGTTATAACAAAGTTGAGTTTGGAACACAAAGATTTGCATGCTACTGTCTCGAAAATCGGCAAAACCATCGATAAAGTTAAAAGTTTATTGTGTTTATTTTCTTTGTACCTAAATCAAATGTTATAATAATTATTATATCATATGATATTTTTTTAATTATTTATAACCTCAAAAAATGTTTTTTTTTCAATTCATTTATTTAAGAAAAAAATAAAATTTTTATCCTCAATCTAGAATTTCATGTCTGATTTTCATCACATATTTTCTGAGAAGACATTTGACTCGACAAACTTTCAAGAAATAGCTCAGGTCATCAGCGATCACTTCCTACAGCATGGACTGATTGATGTGGCTAACAGCCTAGCTCAGGTTTGTGGCTGTGAGAGTGAGGTTGATGAGGAGGAAGATGATGATATGGTGCTGGTGGTATATTGGTGATTACAATGACCACCACCACTCCACAATATATGAGGGGTATCAAAATAGTTTATAAAGATATCATTTTTAGAGATTAAAGACGTTATATTCGCTCGTCGTTGCTTGATTTTTTTAATATTGATTGAAGTTATTGGTTGAGATAAATAAGATAAACTTTGCTACAATGAATATTGGAGATAGTTTTTTTAATGATAAAATCAAAGTAGTGGTAAATTGATTTTTCTTTTTATAATTTTTCACAACTTATTTTTTTTATCAACGCATCAGGAAGCTGAACTGGATGTGAAGGATTACAACAAAGAACCATACCTTCAACTTTATTACATACTAGAAGCATTAAAAAATAATAATTTCCAGCCTGCATTAGAGTTAGCTATAGTTATATATGTGAATTATTTGTGTAACCAACCACCACACAACCAATACCATTATCATTTTCCTATAAGTATTCCATATTTTACTCACCAACTTTACCAATTGACTCCATCACCACCACCAATTGACACCACCACCATAATTTTCTCCAAAGGTGGGTGGACAAGCACAGGGAGGAGTTGCAGAGCATACAGAGTATGTTGGAGTTTAAAATACACAGACTGCAGTTCATTGCCATTCTTAGGAAAGGTTCTCATTCATCATTTTTTAAAAACACCCATAATATTAAAAACACCCATAATATTAAAAACACTCAATCAACCAATCAATCAATCAATCAATCAATCAATCAATCATTGATTGATTGATTGATTGATTGAATATTAAAAACACCCATATAAAAACATCCATAATAAATTAATTAAAAAATCATTTTCTAAGTTAAATAAATAATTAAATAAATAATTAAATAATAATTAATGGACTAATATGACGACTGAAAATTCTTACAAACTATCGGAACTGTTTTTGGCAGCTACCTGAATAAATCCCCGAAATTAAAATAAAATTTCTTTAGAATTAATTTTCACAAAGCTGGTAGTAATGCTAACCTAATTTGTTCATATCAACGAATTTTAATGTAAACATGTGTGGTATTATACATACATGTGTGCATTTGTACATATGAACAAATTTAAATGATGATATGATACATATATGTGCTACATATCACTAATGCTATATGTGATACATATCACTAATGACATATGTGATAGATATTAATAACGTATGTGATAGATATCATTAAATTGTTTTGCCCAGGTTTTAGTTGTCAGACAGAGGCCATCAGATATGCACACGTCTTGGCTCCATTTGCCGAACGATTTATAAAAGGTCAATAAGAAATATCAATCAAAAAATCATGTTATTGATATTATTGAAAATTTATCTTTCCATTCTTCAACATTAGTTGTGCAAATGATATTGTTGATTTAAATTGTGATGGTTTTTTTTTTTTTGATTTTTAGCAATTTAATTTTTCATACAACCTTAACCAGACATACAAGTTCTAATGGGGTCACTACTGTATCTGAGACAAGGCAAGGATGGGAGAATGATAAATAACTATGGATAAATTTTATAAAATTTTATTACAATTTTTTTATTAAAAATATAAATTCCACTAAAACAATGCTTACAATGTTGAATATAAAATAATATAATGAAATTTCTATTTTTGTCATATTGGATTATTAAATTTTATAATGGTCAGTAGTTGAATGATTCTGACCACCACCAACAAAATGCAGGTTTGGACAACTCACCGTATGCATTTTTATTAATGGAGCCAGTGTTGGAAGATGTTATTGACACTTTCATGAAGGACTCCTGCAAACTTCTGGGCCTGCCTGCTGAAAGTCCACTCAGCACTGTGTTAGTTGGTGTGGTGTGGTGTGATGTGGTGTGGTGTGGTGTGGTGCGATCCGTTTTGGTGTAGTGTGTTATGTTTCAATGTTCTTTAAGCCACATGGGCTCGTATTTTTGGTTGAAAAATCTTAAGGATATATTCTTACTGGAGACTTTTTTGAGAAATGATCAAAATTAAAACAAGGATTGGTTGTTCGTTGGTTGTTCAATTGTTTCTGATAGGTTGTTAGGTTGTTTGTTATTTAAATTAAGATACCTAATTCTAATTGGTACAGTTTTGTTGATAATTTTTATTTTTACAAGGATTAATAATAATTAATTAATAAAATGAAATGAAATTAATTCCTGCAACTAGAATGCAGGTTGGCTGCATAACGTTACCTCCCTTGCTAGCCCTCAATGAATTCCTCTACTCAAAACAACTGAACAGTCCTTGGACGGTTAAAGAGGAATTGCCGGCAAGTTTTTGGGAATTTAAATGTTGCGAATTTTTATTACTTCATTGCATACATGCATTGGATTACGAGCATGCAAATAGTTCAATCACTATTTCAGCATCAATTAAACATTCTGCACTGAATCATCATCAAGCAGATCATATTTAACACATGTAAAGCTAATTAAAACGTTTCTTTAGAAAAATCCACTGCATTTTATAAATATTTCTAGCTAGAAGTGAATGAATGCTTAAACGTATAATAAATAAAAGGAAATAATTGTTGATATTGAGAAGTTTAATTTTAAAAAGTGCTACATAATCTAATACATACATCTAACTTGAAAAACCCTAAAATCCCCCTACGAAAACCACCACCACCACTACTATGCAGTTCTTTCCACAGCAGATGGAGACGGAGTTGGGCAAGCACTGCAGGTACCATTCAGTCTTCGCATGTCCGATCCTGCGGCAGACTACCACAGTGGCCAATCCTCCAGTTCGGCTCGTATGCGGGCACATCATTTCAAAAGACGCCCTCAGTAAGCTGGCCACAATGAACAAGTGGGGACAGCTGCACTCACATCCTTCCATCAAGTTTGGGATTGTTTTTTGTTATCCATTTAATATCGATCGCCTTGTGTGTCGGATGGCTGTGTTGATGGAGGTGACGGTTATTAGGGTGATGATACATCATACTATTAAGTTGTATAGATACATTGTATATTATCACCAATTGATAAGATGATGTTTTTATCTCACATTCACCTGTGCAGAGTCAAGTGTCCGTACTGTCCCAAAGAAACACTGCCAAGTGATGCCAAACAGATTTATTTTTGAAATACCTTTCTCATTTATATAACTTTTGGATGGTGAACATGTAAATAGTTATATAAATACGTGTGTGTGCGTGCGCGCGTGTGTGTATGTATGTGTGTGTGTGTGTGTGTGTGTGAGAGAGAGAGAGAGTGTGTGTGCGTGTATTTGTATGTATGCTTTGCTGTTTGTATGTTCACAATCAATTGATTTTCATTTTCAACCAACGACTCGCTCTTTAGTTTGGTTACTAATGGATTAGGAATAGATTTTTAGAAGTGGCTGAGTGATACAAATTGATTACATCGTCTTCGTCGTTTCATTTAAAAATTACCCCGTTAAAATCAACCATTTTCATCGATGCTGTTTCATTCTTCTTGAGGAAATTTGGTGTTCTTTTTCTATTTACCAGTTCGCGTTGGTTCATCACACATTATGTTCATTTTAAAACGTAACATTTTTGCAGATTCATAAAAGTTGGCTGAATTATCAATATTTTTTTTGGTTAAAAATTCGATTCGCCTGTTTCGTGTTGCGTATCAATAGGTCGGTGTGGAAACGTGGTCACTGGTCAGTCAGCTGGAGTTGCAAACACTCTGACAGTCGCGACGAAGACGGCTAAAATGGTAGTCACGTGATTTAACGAAATTTATTTGCAGGGAATGAATTGATTGGTTTGGGTAGTTAAATAAGACTTTATGTAATAATAAGAAATAAGGCTGTACTAAGAATAATGCGGTGTAGTTCTTGGTTAATTAGTAATTGTGCATTGCTTATTACGTACGACTTCTTTAAAAATTGTGTTGAAAATTTGCGTAGCGCCTCGAGTTAAATTCATTTAAGCCATAAAATATCACATTTACAATGAAAGTCCCATCCTTGCTTGCATGTTTGATTCACCTATAAATCTGATTCAAGAGCAACACTCCTACTAAAAGGAACCAAGCGAGTTATTGGGGACAAGACCAGTTGCTACTAATCTTCCGTTTAAAATAAGAGAAACTGGTGTACGACTTCTCTTCATTCTTTTTAAAGGTCTGTGTTTTGGTTCGTGAAATCCTGATCCGGTTCTTGTGATAGCAACAAAACGTTTTGATGGGAGAAACTATTGTTGTTTCGCAAGAGTGAATCAAAAAGTAAAAAATATGCAATCAAAATGAATAAAAGAACACTGTGGCAAACAAATTAGTAATTACACAAGCGCATGTACCCGGTGAACTGACTAAAAACAATTTGAATTAATTTATTAATATTCGTTGCGTATTGTTGACGCTATACAAATTATATAAATCAATTTGGTTTAAGTGTTCTATCTGGACATCCTAAACGAAAGAAACACAGAATGAGAGAAAAAATAATATTGCAAATAGTTGCACGCGAACACACACAAACATTTTTCTATTATACTATTCCAACTTCGTGTTTCTCCTTGCAAAAATATATTGACGTTCATTTTTTTTACAATAATGAGGCAATAATGTTCATACGAACACGACAACATACAATATCTCCAAATCAATTATCATTACATATAAAATATAAAAAGAACATTTTCTTTGCAACGGAAAAATGAAGGACGGCTAATGAATATTGACCGAAAACTAAATACATTGTGATGGTAAAGTTTTTTGCACGGAATGCTTTACGAAAGTAATTTTCTATCGACACAAAGAACATTATGAAAGTTGAATTGGTATGAATGTGTTCATTACAACAAGAATCGAAATTTGCATGTTTTGATATTTTGTTAATAAAAATAACATTCGCGTTGAATTTACAAGCTACGTCAAATTTGTGAACAAGGCTGAACATTGGTGTTAATTATGTTATTTTTTAATCGCCAAAGGTTAAATATTTTTAAAATTGTTAAAACATGTACTCAAGCTTGAGTAGTAAATTGATACATTTTTAAATTTTAATAGAGCAATTGCGATTATTGTACGGTCATCATCATCGACCAACGAAATGTCTTTCTTCAACCTTCTTCTGATCATCGGACTGATCCCCGAACCAGGCAATTTGATTTTGCTTATTCATTTTTTATTTTGTTGATTATTTCGAAAATCAATGATTTATTTTTATACACACATACGTACGGCGTTTCAAAGTTTCACTCCATCTCAGTATACATGCTCCATTGGTTTCCGGAAAGGGTTAAATTTAAAGTGGCACTCTTGGTAAGAATGGAAATGCACCGGTTTACTTGAGTGAACAACCAATACTGGCATCAAAGGTACTTGGACGTAGTCATCTTAGGTCGTCGGACCACGAGGATCTGGTTATTCCGTCCTTTAGTTCCTCAAAATATGGACGGCGGAAATTTGCTGTAATGGCGGGTGAAATTTGGAACACACTTCCTGTACAGTTGAGGGAAGGTTTCATCACAGATCGACGGCTGTTCAAAAGAACATTGAAACATCATTATTTCAACACTGTACGAAAGCGCTTCTGAGGTCTTTCGAGAAAGGCGCTATACAAGTTCTGATACTGATACATACATACATACATACATACATAGCGCTACGTGCAGCTTACTAGCAAAGAAAGCGGTTTGGCTGCAACCAGGGCATCTGACGAGAAGATCAAAAAGTACGACGGAGCTCTCCCCTCGATGGAGTTTTTACCGATTTGTATCGAGGTCCTCGGCCCCATGGACCGTAACACCTCCGGGTTTTTCAATCGAATTTGCAAAAATATCAGTATTAGGTCAGGCGATAGTAGGGAATACTTTTTTGCTATGAATAATATCTCGTGCATCCTGCAGCGGTTTTTGCGCGTCTGTGTGTTGGAAAATGTGGAGTTGAATGCCGACGGGGTTGAGTGACGTTATAGCAAATAAAATCAAATTTAGTCAGACGCTTGGCTTTTGGTGTCATTCGTCAATGATTTGGTTTTAACATACATACATACATACATACATACATACATACATACATACATACATACATACATACATACATACATACATACATACATACATACATACAACATAAGTAATCGGCCCGGATTACTCTGGTGTTTTTGATAAGCTGACGGCCGTGCTGAAATGTGTACCGGTGTACGACCATATCCCTAAGCCAGGCAGGGAGAAGTTCGCACATGATCTGAACGCCTTGCTGACGGCTGTTTGTAACGACCCTGGTGACCCGGCTCACTGGGTTAGACTCCACTGTTTTGTCCCATACGTCTTACAGAAGACTTCCAGAGGAGGTCGCCGGGTCAACCAGGGCAATCTGGTCAACAAGCGTCTAAGCGAATATTCAACTATTGGTCTTGAAACCCTTGTACTGTGCTTTGATGGGTTCAATAATGCCAAATCACAAAAGCACAACCCCGATCGATGGATCAACGCTGTGTCATCTTGTATTGAACAATTGTAAACCTGTCCTCGGCGGTCAGACTTGTCTGCTCGCCGGAGGGCCTGGCGGAGAGCTCACCGGCCACCTTCGATAAATTATGTTCTATCCACCCAAAAATTCCGGTGGACAGGCGGGTCTTTCCCGCATTGACACCAACGGCTGGTTGCGTTTCTCCCGCCGAGGTGCTGAGGGCCGTTAAATCTTTCAAAAACGGTTCTTCTGGAGGCCTGGATGGCCTACGACCCCAGCACCTTAAGGATGTTTTTTCAGGCCCCTTGCCAATTGACGACACACTGAACTCCTTAACCCAATTCATTAATTTGATCCTATCTGGAGCTTGCCCACTCTCCGTCCGCCGGTTCTTTTTTGGAGGCCGGCTAATAGCTTTAAATAAGAAAGACGGAGGGGTCAGACCGATTGCGGTCGGGAACGTTTGGAGGAGGTTGGCCGGCAAATGTGCCTTGGCCCTGGTCGTGGTCAAACTCAAGACCAAGTTCTACCCGACTCAGTTGGGTGTCGGGATTAAGGGTGGCGCTGAGGCCGCTGTTCATGCGGTTCGAAGATTGGTCACCGACCTCCCCGATCAATGGGGGTTTCTGAAACTAGACTTCAAAAATGCCTTCAATGCTTTGAGAAGAGACTCGATGTTGGAGGCTGTCAAACTTTTTTGCCCCAACATCTATAATTTTTGCCATTCTGCTTATGGCGGAGTCTCTTCCCTTGGCTACCACTCTTGGGTTGTAGAATCGTCCGAGGGGGTACAGCAGGGTGATCCCCTTGGTCCTTTGTTGTTCGCACTAACTCTTCATCCACTCTTAGAGAAAGCTTCGTCCACCTTCGTTTGCGCTTATCTGGTTGATATCAGCATAGCTTCGGACGGTCCAACTCTGGCCGATGGCTACGAATATTTGAAGCATAACTCCGCTGCAATTGGCTTAGAGTTAAACATTAAAAAATGCAAACTTCACTGCCAAAGTTTATTTCATGTGCCACATGCGCTGGCTGAAATACCCAGAGTTGGTGCATCAGAACTGAGTTTTTTAGGCACACCCTTGGTCGAGGGCGATTATCAAATAAAGTTTTTTGACCAAAAGCTCTCTGAGCTTGAATTCGCCCTGGGTCGTGTTTCCTGTCTTTCGGCCCATGATGCCTTGACTATTATCCGCAATGCCCTCAGTTTGCCCAAATTGATGTACTTCCTGCGTACATCTAAACACATTGACCCTTCTAAATTGGGCGAATTTGACGGAGCCCTGCGCACCGCCCTGTCGTCGATTTGCAATGTTCAAGTGACCGACAGTGGTTGGTCCCAGGCTCAGCTGCCGGTGCGATTTGGTGGGCTGGGGTTGCTTAGCGTGGTTCAGCTGGCTCCCGTTGTTTATAATTCTTCTGCCGCTGCCACTCTCGACCTACAGTCTTCCCTGCTCCACCGGTTTTTTCGTTGCCGCGATATTCTTCCCCCAGCGTCCGCCCCGGGGGACCGTACGCACGTCCAAATTTTGAACGAAGAATATAAAAAAATCTTTCAAAATTTGTTGTCTTCATGCGGCGACGACTTTTCCACCGCTCGTTTGTTGGCCATGTCCAGCGTTGCCAGCTGTGGGTGGTTGAGATCGTGGC